TCATATCTGAAGCCCTCCATCCTACACCAGCTCTTTAGCCATGCATTCAACTGTGTGACCTTTCTATTTATGGCCTCATTAGCATGTGGCCAAGACAGTAATCCCAAGATCACAACCCTCGAGGTTCTGCTTTTCAACTTCCAATCTCACTCCCTAAATTCCCTTTGCAAGACTTCATCTCTCTTTCTGCCGATGTCATTAGTATCAATATAGGCCATGAACTCTGGCTGTTCACCTTCCCCTTGTATTCTCCAGGGGTCAGTATTAGGGCACTACATTTCTTGATCTACTTTGTTAGTGTGAACTTGGGTGTCCAAAGCACAAATTTAAGCCTAGAGATAACAAATCATGGAAATGTTGTGAACTTTAAGAGTGATAGCAATAGACTTCAAGAGAACACAAGCTGGAGAACACCGATTACATTTAATGCAGAGTTCTGCGAAATTGTACATTTGTTAGGAAGTACAAGGAGGGAGAAATGTCAAGAAAAGAAAGATTTTAAAAAAGGGATGCAAGAAAAAGATATTTCTGGGCACATGTATACAGTTTGATGAAAGAGAGAGGGCGTGCTGAGAAAGTAAGGCAGATGGATCCTGGATAAAAGATTTAGCTTTATGTAAAAAAAAAAGCACACTGGTTGGGTACCAACTGGAGCAATCTGTCTAATTCTGATCATCACAATTTAGGCAGGATGTGAAGACACAAAAGAATGCAGGGAACTATTCTCATGAATTTTCTAAGGATAAGGAACATCAGCTACACAGATAGATTGGAAAGGCTGGGGCAGTTCTCCTTAAAGATGATAAAGGATGGAGAAGAAATTTGATGAAGTGTTCAAAACAGTTAGAGGTTCACTCTACCCATTAGTGGAAAGGCAGAGGAACCAAAGGATATGGATTTAAGATGACAAGAAAAATGTTTTGGTGCATCAAGTTATAGGAATTTGTGGAATTCACTGCCCAACCGTGTGGTAGATGCAGGTTGAATCAGGGTTTTGAAAATAAACAAATAAACAGCTGAAGGGAAAGAATCATATAGCTTTATAGGATATAGGGAATAGCTGGGTAGCTCTTGCAGTGAGCTGGCACAGAAATGATGGGCAAAACATCTCCTATGCCGAGACCATCCAAACATTCTATGATCTGAACATCTCTAGTGGTGTAGATCAATATGGAAATTATAATTGGTCATTGAATTTAATCAAGCCCACATTAGAAAGATTTTTAATATACGAGGAAGTCGAAGGTTACAGGGAACAGACAAGAAAGGAGTCGAGACCCCTACCAAATCAGACATGATCTTATCAAATGGCAGAGTAGGCTCGAAGGGGTGAACTTATCTTTTCCTGCTCCAAGTCCTATGTTTGACATTGTTTCAACTCTGGATGATCTAGAATTTTTATTAATACTATTTTAGAAGTGAGAACATCTCTCTATCCGATTTGTAGTTTTCAGTCAGAATATCATTTGCAACAGAATGCTCGTGTGGTATTACTATATTAACCATGAAACTGTTAAGTGACATGGCTGAATTGGAAATTCCACAAGCTGCGCTATTCACGGCATTTCAGGTAAACTATCAAGTTGATCACTTTGTCCGACAGGTGCTATTCAGGATTAAAAAAAATTACAGCAGGTTTCAACATTAACAGGAAAATAACTTTTTTACAATGAAGTGTATTCTTTAACAAATGGCAAAAGGAAGGGTTAGCAATTTAATACACGACCCAAGCTACAAACACTTTAAAATCCCAAAGGCACATTCATCAGTAAGACAAAAGCAATTTGATGCAAGTATTATGGGTGGACGAGTAGAAACCGGGATGAACAAAATCCAGAATTCTAGACCAGACCAGAAGGGTGGGATGAGTTGTTTCTCAGTTCTTTAGTTTTCTAGCAACAGTAACACAACGTTGCCCACACAGTAATGGCCAATATTAGATTTAATGTGTACCTGGGCCATTTTTTACATTGGAATTCGCTTTAGAATCTGTGGGGTTTTTTTTTTGTCTTTTGCCACCCTCGGGAAAGGGGGAAAGAGACGTTTCTTGTTTGCAAGCTTCTGGATCCGAGTGCAATGTCTGGCAGATCTGTGAAACTACAATTTCAGAAGCAATTGAAATGGCTGTTGCTAGGCAATTTTTCCCTTAACTCAGATGCTCCTGGTGCCACTGTCTCAAGGCAACCTCCTCACTGCTACAAGAAGTAACAACCTTGTATATCCATAAACATACACCGCACAATCACACTTGACCTTCAAGTTGCAAAACCTCTTCTGGTACTTTTTGCTATATAGTTGTATCAAACTATGATTTTACAGCTTTTCCATTTGAAAGGGATAAAAAGTGGCCCCTTAAGTAACTTTAAGATTTACACTGGGTTATTTAATTTTTCATCCCATTTGACTTTCAAGATTTCTTTAACATTCATCTTTTCATACATGGTTTGAGATTACTTTTGTAGTTAGCACATTTCAGCACCGCCTCCACACACAAACCTCCATACTGCTATTCATTATTCCATCTGTCAAATAAACTTCTCTCCAAGAAACACAGTAGCTACACAAGGTCAATACTTATGTCTGATGTGTTGGTTTACTTATATTGTAATAAGCTTGCTGGAAAGCACTATATTATCCAGCCCTTACCTCTTTGTCCATCTGTTCTAATACATTTTAAATCCCACACAGTATTTGAACAGGGAACACTCCCACAACTTTGACTAATACTCCTTTTCAACTACTCCCATTGGGGGAAGAGAAAATTAACATGATCTGATTTACATTTTAGCATCAGTTTCTTTAAAATGTTGGCAGAGATGTTGAGAATGCTGTTTAAAAATAACAAAAATAAGCATGAAATAATCTAAATATTTATAAATCATTAGTTATGTAACAGCTACAGTAGTGTTCAATTCTGAACATCACACTTTAGGAAGGATATTAAGGTCTTAGAGAAGACACACTTAAATGAGGAACTAGAATTATGTAAACAGAGTGTGGAGAACCAGGGATTTTCTCCTTCAGCATTGAAGGACAGGCTTAGAAGAGATCTTCAAAATCTTGAAGGGTTTAGTAAACAAGGTGAAACAATTTCCAGTGGTGTATTGATCAGTAGCCAGACACAGATTTAAAGTGATTGGCAATTAAAAAAAAAGGAGGTTAAACTTATGCACTCCCTATAAATTAAGTAAAGAACTGAATGAAGGAAAGTTGTAGAACTGAGGAAACAGCAAGGGAGTGGGACAAGTTGAGCAATTCAAATGAATCAGCACAAAGTCTGTGGACTGATTACCTCCTTGCGCCATATGATTCTAAAATTTTTAACCAATAATGCTGCAATTTCACTGGAGATCTCTACTGGGGAGCAATGGAAAAGTTTAACCTGAGAGCAGTCCATCTCTTTAAAAGTACATTAAACTGACTTGTTTATGTACATTTTATAAGTATGGTTTTAGAAGTCCAATAGAATATAGTATTTGAACCTGTAAATGGTCCAGGAAATTAAAAAAAACATTGCTTAGAGCAAAACATGACATCAGGAAGCATCAAGACCAAGGAATGCCTCAAATTGAGAATGAAAGGAAATTCAGAGAATATCATGGCCATGCTTATATCAGGTCTTGTACTACAGGGAAGAGCATACATTTATGTAAGGCAGTAGCTCTGGATTCAAGTCTCACCCCCAATTTCACGGCCAAAAAGGTTGAGTATCAACTTGTAAATCGTTCAAACACACAAGAATCGTAGGTAGTAAGAGCAGGCGAGACTCCTGATGAATCATAGGGTGAAAAGAATATTAGAGCTTCTACCACCACAATTCATAGCTGTAGGGTAGATGGGTAAAAAATGCATGCTGCCATTGCAACTCAAGACTTCCGGAATAATCTGGGACAGTCACCATTACTGCTAAACTTGCTAGTAGTGAGGCACATGAAAACAGTCACAAGCATAATTTCCCAATTTTCACATAGTTATTGGATAGCTGAAAGGAAGAAAAATAATTTACTTGAAAATTCCTCACAGTATTAGAGGAAGATCAGTTTTTTTCCCCCTACCATTTCAACAATTTTTTAAAAATTCATTTTTCTAAAGAATTCTGTAATAACTAGCACATAAAACTTAAATGCTTCTCTTCCCGGTAACTTCAGACTCCTTTGCTGTAGTTGGGCAATTAGAAACACGAAAAAAGTAACATACATTTTAGGGTAGTGTTCCTTTGTCCCAGTTTGGAGGTTAAAAGTCGCTGACACCAACAGTGTAAAGGATATGACTGGATGGTCCACACGTGGACCGTGCCTGGAGATCTCCCGGCGATTTCATAACGGTAAACAATGATAAGGACGCTGGTTTTTGGTCGACTTCAGTGTATTTACAAATGGAAATTGCTCGAGATCTCGGTGGTTTAGCGTGCTAGTTCTATTTGTGATACTGATACTAAATAAAACTCACTAGCAACAACTATGTAAGTGTTTCTATGGCTACGGGTTGCGTATAAAAGTCAATTCCCTTACATGACAGTTTCACTGGTCACGAATTCCATACACCTCATTTTTATCACTACCCAGCAAAAAAGTAAATAGACTTGTTGAGATTATTTGTTATGGAGTTACCAACACCATCCTGCGTACGTTTTCAATATAGTGCAACATTTTTAGTTTGCAGCATTTTTTAAAAAACATATTCTGTTGGAACCTACGGTTTTAAGACGGGAGGCGAAAGGTTTAGTCAAACATTTCTTAATTGCAAATCCCATCAGATAAACGTGGGCTATCTGGGAAATTAACCCTCTTAACCAGTAGCTAATCTGCAGGTCACGGTGTTAGCAAAAGCTGCAATGTACTTGCACATTATTGTTGCATGAGTTTATACGTTATGAACTAAATGATGTCACTCTAAGTCGTTGCTGTGTATTAACTGTCTAATTTTAGCTGCCGGACTCAATCGTCAGTTAGCTCAAAAGGAGAACCAAACATTGGCCTAACAGTTTCTTATATACATACCCACAGGTGCAAAGCTCACAAATACATTTCCTCTTCATGGTATAGACGGCAGTCAGTGCGAATCTTGCTCTGGACTCTGTATTGGATATAAACCCACGCCGCGTATCTAAGCAATTGGCCCTAATAACAGGAACACCTCACCCTGCATTCCTCGAACCCGTCACATGGTGAACGTAATCCTTTTTAATTAGGATTGAAATTGAAATAGAAATAGATGCAACACATTCGATCAGTCACAGAAACAATTCGGTCTTCGCTCAAACATAAATATTCACCGTTTAAAAGATTGGACTCCTTAAAAACCAAAAATGCTTTTCAAAAGCACGTTATAAAAAAAAAATGCGACGCCCAACCCCAAAAAAGCCAGGTGCTGTGAAGTTGAGCTAATGTCGGGCGCAGGTGTTAAATGGAAAAGCGTGGAATTTGTTATCTTGAGGAAGAGGTTGTCCATTATATAGCAAAAGAAATTTGGAATATAAATTTCCGACTATGTAAACATATGCGTTATCGAACAAGGCCACAGATTTGTTACGGATATGGAGAACGTGACTCTCAAAACAGATAAAAGTCTCAAAACGTATTTAGTGAAGACGTTTTGACTAAGTACCTAAATATCTGAGCTATTATACTGTCGGAGTTAGCACGGAAATACGCCATTCAGTTCATCGTGTTAGTGCTAGTCGTCAAGCCTCTATTTTAATTCCATTTCCCACATGCTATGGCCTTCAAGTGATCACTTAAGAACTATTTAAGTGTCTTAAGGGTTTCTATCCTTTGACTCATTAATATGGTAACATTACCATATTGTAGTCTTGTGGAGTCAGTAGCCAAGTCCCTGAACAGACAGCAAGCTGTTGGACCATCAAAAAAAAAGTTCGTGATCTGACTAGTGAAGGGTGAGAATTTATGTTCCACAAACAGGTTGGGACCACTCTTCATTGTGTACATTAGCTCTTTGAACTACAAAATTGTAGACAATACAACATTTCCAGGACACCAAATATGGTCTGGAAGTACAATTAATAAAAAGGGAGCTGTATAACCTTAATTTCCCAGAGGTGGAAATTTATGTGGCAGCTCACTAGATAGATTGAGTAACAGAACTTTTGCTGTTAAATACATCAAGGTGAATGAAGCATGGTTCTGATAGGTCTGATTTGGCTGGCCCTATCACCCACCAAACTGGATTTCAGCCTTGAGAGATCCATTCCTGGTGACATAACCAATCAGGTAGTAGTAGCTGAAACTATTGAATGGACTGTTAACTTCAAATCAAACTCTAATTGCTTCCCCTACCAGTGGCAGGAGAGATGGGTGGAATTATCCAGACTCCAGAAAAGCATGCTGAAGCTGCTCCTGCTGCAAATGGTAGGGATCAATGTTAAGGAAGCTCTGCAAGAGGCGAATAGCCAGCAAGCCCCATTCTATGTCTTAGAGCTCTCCAAACAATGATCAGCAGCCTAAAGGAGGTATTGACTCATTACAATCATCTCAGTCTAACATTCAGGATCAGCAACTCCTTTTATGCCGGACTATATGACATGAAGCCCATTGGCAGCATGACTTCCCAGTCGTTCCTGTACTCATATTTGGAGGTCTCAGTACCTGGAAAAGTCTGGACAAGCCAATATCTCTGGATAAACTGTCAAAGTCCTTGGTCCTCGAGTTCAAGAAAACTCCAGGAACAATGCTTTATTGTATTTGACTCTGTAGGACTTGACCAGCCAGGATCTGCTAGAGACGTACAAGAGTATACTTCTTGGCGAGTAGCATGTGTGAATCCACAAGGAAGGGCATCATCACCCTCAACTACAAGCAGAAGGGGGAAGAGTGAGGAAATTATGAAGCGGCAATTCATCTTACTTGAGGTTGGTTGGCTCGCCGAGCTGGTTTGTTGTTCCGCAGACGTTTCGTTACCGTACTTGGTAACGTCCTCAGTGCAGCCTCTGATGAAGCGTCGGTGTGTTTCCCCGCCTGGTTTTTAAACTCTGGGGTCCGTTGCGACGGATTGCCTCACTTCTGGGTTTCCTCCGTAGTGGAATGTACATGGGGTCGAGTTCAATGTGTTTATTAATAGCATGCTTCGTGGAGTGCCATGCTTCCAGGAATTCTCGTGCTTGTCTCTGCCCAGCCTGTCCCAGGATCTTGGTGTTGTCCCAGTCGAAGTCGTGGTTCTCCTTGTCCATGTGGATTGAGATGAGCGAGTATTGGTCATGGTCTTTTTGTGG